CATAGAATAAATCACTGAAAAATGTGAGAAGTTGTCTATGAAACTAACAAAATACTTCATACCATCATGCGTTACTGGATTTATAGGCCCACAGACATCACTAGAAATCACTTCTATTATTCTTTTCGTCTTTCTCTCTTCTGGCAATTGTACAAATGGTTTTCTTGTCTGTTTCCCTTGTAAACAGTTTTTCGAACAAGGATACTTGGACGAATGCCCCATTCTTCGGTGTAAAATAACTTTTTCTTTCACTGTGATATTTGCTTGCATTTCTGGTATTTCAAAGTACACAATATACAAACTTCCCATCAATTTTCCTGAAGCATTATTTTCCTGAAACGTTATTAAATATTAAATTATTTTATAAATCAAACAGTTTTGGTTTTTTAATGATTCGGCCACTTCTAGTCTTCACATCATTTCCTGATGAGTCTTTAAATTCGTTTTCTGCAGGATTCGGGTCACAAGGAAGCGACTCATGATTATGTTGAGCATTTTCTGGCTGAGTGAACTTCTCCGTTTCCACTTTTGAATCTTGCTCTGATCTTTTCGGTTTCAGTTGTTGGCGGTTTCTTCGTAGATCCTTTCCATCGACTCGAATTAAATAATCATTTGTCCCGGATTTAGATAAAACCTCACCAGGCTCCCAATCACGTGCTCGTCTTTGAACTAAAATTTCTTCTCTAGGTTCCAGTTCACCTAATTTTCTAGTTGACACATCATAATATTATTGCTTTTGTTTTTCTTGATTAGAATTTAAAACTTCTTTAGTATGTTGAGTCGAAAATTGTGGGTTCAGGACACTTTGACTTACTGGCAAGTTGGTTCGTAGTCTCCTACCCATAAGTTGACAAGGAGATGGTAAGCCTTGTTTGGGAGTAACATTAGAGTTTAGGATTGCAGCAAATGGGCCCTCCCCATCTTGTACGGATTTAGTGAGAAGACCCTTTACAGTCTGAACTGCCCGTTCCACCATTCCATTTGATGTAGGGTAATTTGGACTTGAAGTAGTTAGTTTAATGTCATATAGTTTTGCAAACACACACACTAAACTCATGTGAGCTGAATGGTGGGCCATTGTCTGAGAATATTTCTTGTGGCAGACCATTGACTGAAAAAACATTCTTAAGAGCAGACACTACTGCACGGCAAGTTTTGCTATGGAGTTTATTTACTACAATGAACTTGCTAAAGTAGTCTAATATCACTAAGAAATCTTGAGATCCCAGGGCTTTGAAATCTATGCCTATTTTTTGCCAAGGCAGTTCAGGGACCTCATGTGATGTAAGAGGCTCTCTTGAATTGGATTTTTCATAGGATTGGCATAGATTGCAGTTCTCTCTCAATGTCTTGTGACCAACCTGGGTAGTAAATTGCTTCATGAGCAAAGTTTTTACAAGAGACAATTCCCTGGAATTTATGTATGCAATTACAGAAAATATTTTTAAGTTGGAGTCCAAATAATCCGTATTGACACACTCCTTGATGGGATCTCGACTGAGTGTGATTAGCAAGCGGCGGCCGCTTCAAAGAAATATGCCGCCAAAAACGCCGCTAAAAAAATCTAAACAATAAGATATTCCTGGAGTCAACGTTGACTGTATAAAACAACCAATAAGATGCATTGTTCGCACGTGGATTCGCATCCAATGTATACGGGCACGCTCAATATATTTTTCCTAATAATAGTATAATAATTTTAACGGGCAATACGATAATTTGAGGAGACCCCAATTTTTGTCTATACCTACATAAATAAGTGTAAATCGGTACTTCAGTAATTTAATTGCAAGTCTTTGTATGCGAGGCGACATCTCATCCAAGGGTTTTTTCAAAAGTCCAAACAATGGTCGATGATCGGTTTCAATTTTGAAATTTTCTAACCCAAGCAGATAGTAATTAAAGCGTTCACACCCAAAAACAAGTCCCAGTAAATCCTTTTCAATATGGTTGTAGCGTTACTGAGTTAGATTTAAAGATACACTAGCATATTCGACTGGGAGATTATCCTGGCTAATAACAGCTCCCAAGCCATACGGAATTGCATCGACTGATAATATTACTTCTTTCTCCGGATTGAAAAATGTTAACGTTGTTGCTGAAGAGACTAGATCTTTTAATTTATTAAATGACTTTTCCTGCACTTCAGTCCATTGCCACTCTGTTTTATTGCTAAGAAGACCACGGAGAGAATTTGTCTCATTAGATAGATTGGGCAAAAACTTAGAAAGGTACACAATATCCCTAGGAACCTTTGTAGGTATTTTTTATTTTTTGGTGACTGTATTTCTCTTATTGCACGAGTTTTTTTTCCATCTGGAGATACACCATTGGAGCTGATAATATGCCCCCTAACTTCTCTGACACAAATCTTTGATTTGGAACAATTCAACGGGAGTCCACTATTTTAAATTTTATCCAGAACAGCATAAAGATTACGATTACGTTCAGTTTTTCCGAATACAAAAATATCATCAAAATATGATAACACCCCCTCAAAACCCTCCAACAACCCGAAGATGAACTTCTGAAACATTTCTGGTGCGCAGAGGATACTCCATAGGCAAGGCGCAAATATCTGTATCTTCCAAAACAAGTTGTAATAAAACACAACAAGGGGCTTTCATAGCTTAAGAGAAGTTGCAAAAAAGCTGAGGAAGTATCCAATATGCTGAAATATTCTGCGCCACTGAACTGTGAAAACGATACATCCTGTGTAGAGATTTCAAAAATTTATCGTTTAATAAATTGGTTAAGAGCACTGGGGTCCATACATATTCTTATATCGTTACTTTCAGGCTTTTGAACCACGACAATTGGATGACCACAATCAGATGGTTCTGTTACCGGTACAATTAATTGTTCCTTCACCATTTCGTCAAGCTTGCATTTAACTTTTTCCTTGAGGGCAAGAGGAGTTTTCCGGGGTGCACACACACTAGGTTCATTACCATTATTCTAAATTGTTTGTTTACTTTGCCTATACCTGTAAATACATTACCTATCATACAATTTTACAAGCTGCAAAAAATTATCGCCACTTTTATTTTTTTCAGAAAAGTTAATAGTGGCAATATTTTTATTAGTTTTTTCTGGGATTATGCGAAGAGCACGAATTGCATCAAGTCCCAACACAGATCATGGCTTATTAGAATTTAACACAACAAAAAGAAAATTATATTGATTTTTGTTGTAAACACAGTTTAAATAAATTTGTCCCAAAACCTCAATTTTATGTCCAGAATAAGACACTGAAGATACTTTTTCAAGTGACTCGTAAGGCATATTTAATGAATGAAAATCAGAGACATTCAAAATGTTAAATTGACTGCCAGTGTCGATTTTAAACTTGATTTTGAAACCTGAAATGTTTATTATTTCCAACCAGTCTATGGCACCAATGTCCAAAGTAGTAATGGTCCACACTATTGGATTTGACTCACCACCACTTTGTAAAGTATTTCTAGAAAAACTACCAGATTGACTGTCATCTTTACTACAATCAGAGTCATCATCACAAGTTCCAAATTCACTAAATTGTTCAGTTAGTTCATGTATTTTGAGTAATTTTTTAAAAAAGTTGCGATACTGTCCCGTCTGTTTACAGAAACTGCATATTCTGTTCCATGCAAAGCACTTACCTGGTTCATGTTGCAAACCACAATTAGAACAGGCCAAGTTACCTCTAAATTGCTTACGAAAAGCCCCAGATCTTGCTCCAGAATATCCAGCATGTGCTGACGGTTGGTTGAGTCTACGAGAACCATCTGTTTGCTGCCAGCCCTGTTGCCGATACGGTCCAGCAGACGAAGTGCTAGCGCCTTGATTGTACTGGCCTGAGTACTGACCATATTCTTTCAACTTTTTCCCAATAGCATTTACTGACACTGACTCTTTGCTGATTTTTTTTTGTGTGATAATAGTAGTCTCCATAGACCTACAAATATTTAAAGCATCACTCAAGTTCAGGTCTGGATATTGCAGTAGCTTTTCTTGTATGCGAGAGTCTTTAACTTCTAACACAATACGGTCGCGATTCAAAACGCCCTTCTTAGCAAATTCACAAGAAGTCGCAAGTTGCTTCAAAGCTGTCACAAACTGGTCAACGGTTTCGTCAGAAAACTGCTCTCTTTTGAAAAATTTGAAGTGTTCATATACAAGATTTTTCGCATGGCTGCAATACTTGTCAAACTTCTCAATAACTGTGGTAAGCTTATGTTCATCTTCATGTGGCTCATACTCAAAAGTATTACCTAAATACTTTGAGACCTTTATCCAATTCAAATTTTTGCTTCCACAACTTCCAATTGTTTGCTAAGAAAATGTGAATTGTTCCGGAGTACGACTTTTCGCCATTTTATACTAGGTTTATTTAAATTTTCTTGGAGTCTTGGGTGATTTGAAAGCAGCACAATAAAATTCGAAGCCGTCGAATAAAAAAAAAAAAAAAAAAAACAAGCCAAGCTACACCAGCTGACTACACGTTAGTGAGTCACAAAACAAAACCACTGCGCGCTTTTACCGCTATCACTATGTAATGTTTCTTGATGTAATGGTCCCAAAGCAACTAACAAAAGGTTTCACAGTGGTTTATTAAATGGTTTATTATTACATGAGCACAACAACAGTGTATTAACACAGAGCATCATAGGACATGACAAAACCGCCAACCGCCCGACATTTTGTCATACACTGAGCCTCTACTGATCTGTCGAAGGTTGGCGGTGTTGCCACTTCTAATAACGAACATACATAACAAGAACACTGGTGAGTTTTTGATTGGAGCACTCTCTGAACAACTTGACATTTCATCAATTAATATTAGGTCTGTTTCTGCAGAAATCACAAACCAGTCAGATTGAATTTCATTGGTCGAAACTAGTTTTCTGACTGTTTTCACCCAATCAAATTCGCTCTGACTGGTTTGTGATTTCTGCAGAAACAGACCATTATCAAATCTCGCAGTTATTATCCTTGAAAAAATAATTCCATTCAACACAATCGGTTTTGGAAAAATTTATTAAAGTTTACATTTTAAAAAGTGATAAAATAAATAAATATTATTCGAGCCTGGATTTTGTAAGTAAAAAATTCAATTTAAGCTTTGGTTATTCTCAGATACAAGGTTTCATTTGGTTGCATCAAAAACAAACCTTTTTTCAAGGTTAAAGGCATTTTCGTTTTCGGACTGATGCTGACTTTGTAGTCTTTCAAAACTTGGATAAGGCCAATTGAAGTTTGCATCAAACCAAACCGTTTAGCTGAAAAATTCAATTAATTAGTGGGTAATTTGATTATCAAAAACTCTTACCGATACAGTTCCTAGGTCCTTCGCCAAAAGGTAAGTAAGCATATTGATTTATATTCTGTTTGTTTTCAGCGTTAAATCGTTCAGGATCAAACTGGTCAGGATTTGGGAAATAATCTGGATCTCTTCCTAGAGCTAGAATGGGAATAACGACGCTTATGCCTTTTTCTAGTGTGAAGTTTTCATCCTCGAATCTGTGTGGTTTTACGGTTTTTCTTGCAATTGCTTGGACTGGAGGGTACTTCCTCAATGTTTCTGAAAATAATTATATTATTGTGCTGTTATAATATTGTAGATTTTAGTCTAAGATTTGAAACGCTTTGAAGTCTCTGTGAGATAATTTCTTCAGTTCTCAAATGCGAAACTTTAGGAATCCTCAAAGGCTTTAATTTAAAAAAATCTTTAACTTGCATGCCTTAGTGGTTTGAAGAGCTTCTAAAATCAATAGCCTTTGAAGCTCTATGTCTTCAATTTTCTTGGAAACTTTCAAAGGTTTCAGTTTTAACACTTTAAACAACATACTCTAGATTACTTAGTCCAGAAGAATTAATATTTGCTTAGGTCTTGACTTATAAATTCCCAGAGAGAGTTTAAGACTTTCAAAGAGAAGATTATTTGGACTTTTTGGAGTCTCTAAATTTGTTAATAGGAGTTTTAATAGGTTTCATCGAGTCTTAAATCAAGACTGTTTTGAAACAAAACAGTCAAATTCATTTTTAAGAAATACTGTAGTGCTAGATTTGCTTTTTAGAAGAGAGAACAGAGCAGAAATCAGGAAATACAACTTATCCCATTGAGGACGATACAATTATTAAACAGTTTGCAACAAGTATTAAAGATCAATTGGAGAGCTAATTGTCAAAATGGAAATGATTATCATCAAAAATTGAGTGTGTAGTGAGTAAAAAAATCAAATTAATTAAGCCCTTACCATCTATCACTTGTCTCAAATAAGTCATTTCTTTGAACGATTCATAGGTAAGCTCTCCTTTGTGCTCATCCAGTACCCTTCGTATTTCTTCCCTGGTTTTGTCTTGTAATTTGGGATTAAGGGCAAGTTCATACAATGCAAAGTTCATTGTAGTCGAAGACGTGTCAAATCCGGCTATGAAAAACAAAATCACGTTGCCAATAAGATCGTCAAAAGTAAAAGGTTTTTCTTCGTCCTTTGTGGTTTCGTACAGGTTGATGAGCAGCTGTAAGAAATCGGATTTTCTGGAATTATTTATCTGTCTGAATTTGACAGTTTCTGTTAAGGTTTCCGTGAAGAATTCAGTTACGGGTTCTGGAATATTATTGATACCTAAATAGCGAGCTATGGGCTCACAGATTCTGGTGAGCATAAGGTAAAGTTTTCTCTTTGGCGTTGAACGGAAGATTTCTTTGCCCATTTTACGAAATTCGCCTTCTTCACTCGAGAAACTACCAAAATCCAATCCGAAAGCTACATTACCGATTACGTCTGTTGTATAAGAGGCAAATACCTACAAAAATAAATTTTAATTGAAACCACAATAGTCAATTATTTAGGTACCTCTCTTATATCTATGTCTTTTTCAGTTTCAGCATTCTTGGCAAAAATATCCATCATAGGTTCGGTACATTTAACCACAGCCAAAAACATCAGCTTCATTTTAGCTGTCGTGAAAACAGGCGTCAGCTTTTGCCTCAGATTTTTCCATACTTCCTTGTCCACCACGAAAATATTTTCGTTTTTAGGGTCGTATTCCGGATTGTGATAGAAGTCTCTGGTGCTGAAACTGGGAAAACTCTTCAGCAGAATTTCCTTGATGTAACCGGGATCGGTTACAATCAAAACTGGATTGCACCAACTCCAGGCGCCTCCACATTTCAGCCCGCGTCTTTTGAATTCCTTATACCATTCGACGGTTTCGATGCCGTAGGAAAATGCTTCAGTACCAATGCACTCATTGTTACCTTGAAGTTTATAATGGTTGGACTGATTTTAGGCTAGTTTTATTTGGTACCTACTTACCTAGAGGAAACTTGGGTTTTAAATGCGATACACCTTTTCTAGTCCAATATGTGTATTTATAACGGAAGTATAAATAAATACACGCGAATGCAAACAATATAAAAAACGATGCATATAGAAGTAGCTGTATTGAGTCAGACATTGTTCTATGTGATTATTTCAGGCTACTAACAAATCAAATGAGGGTCACCTTATTATATATATATATTTATCAATTTGTGTAAACATATATACTGTGACTTGATAGCAGTTACGAATTTAGAATAATAGTTTGGATAAATTTGTCTGCGTATTAAAGTAGTCTTATTTCAGATAACAGAGAAAGCGTTGCATACCTGATGCCCTTGAATTTGCACATTATAACATAATATGCATACTTGTTTTTTTTTTTATACATATTTATGAAATACCTACGACGTTTTTCACAGTTTCGGAACGCGTCATCCAATATAATTGAAATTTTGAGGATCTGGGTAACTTTTTGTGCCGCTTCTATCATTGTCATCCAATTTCACCACTTTCGCTTCAATTTTGGTCAAGTGACGTCAACTTCAGAATCTTAAATGGTATCATGGTATATTATTGTACTTTTCGTTAGAAAATTAAATTACAAAATCGACAATGCCATCATATTTGTTAGCGCTTTGTTAAAGAAAATGATAAAAAAATATACAGTGAAACATACGATGATGCGTTCCGAAGTTATCATTTGGGAAAAACCTCGTGGGACACCCTGTATATAAAAATGTGATTTGCTTTTCTTTGTCTTTCCATCCATATACGCGTTTCGATCTATCAGATCTCATCAGTGTGGCTAGGAAAGCAAATAGAACCCACTCAGATTCGTGCCGGTAGGCAAACAAGATACAATACGATGAGAGATTTGAATCTGAGTTAATTTTGTTTGCGTTCCACACTGATGAGATCTGATAGATCGAAACGTGTCTGTGGATGGAAAGGCAAAGAAAAGCAACTCACATTTTCATGTTTTTCGAATTCTGGTTATTGGTCAGCTTATTGACGATCAGTGCATATATAGATGCCGACACTACTAAAAATCTCTCATCGTTTTATATAATATATATGCCATATAGATATTTATCGAAAAGAGGGTGGGATTACTTGCCGACAGTGGTGAAGGCTTTTACCAATTTTATTTATGATAATTGAAACGACTATCTACAATCACAATAATCGTAAATCAAAAAAGCTCTAAAATCACATCTCAAGCTTCAAAAGTCTCTAAAATCCACCTTAAAATCCTAAATGGCCCGTTTCGTTCCGGTTTAAGGTCTCTAGGGCACCTACGATTTAGTAGTTAGCGTTAGTTAAATAATGTAGCGGGCTCAAACGGCGGAGGCTATTGTGTGTGAGAGACTGCCGGTCATCCTGTGTGGAGATTCCTTTGGGATTTGCGGATTAAGTTCGGGAGCCATTACTTTCTCTCCGGAATATTGACGACCGTGCCGGACTTGCGGGTGCCCCTACATTTTTTTTGTTCTCCGTTCCTTTTGCTGGCGCCGTTGGTCAGAAGAAAAATCACCGAAGCGATTTGGGCAGCTTAAACCGACGCCCGCATACACTGACGACTCATTTATATAGTTCGGAAAAAAAACGACAGAAGTTAATGCTAGTTTATTTTTGTTTTCTTTCTGTTTCGACAAACGTGCCATTAATTTAGGGGTAATGATCGGAATTGCTATATAATTGGAAATCGGGATCGATAGTTCTTTATTGTATCAATTTTAATTCACTTGCCAGAGCCGGAATTTGGTTATTGTCTCAGAAACTGAGTTATGCTTTGGCAACTTAGTGTAGCCCTTTGGGCTTAAAAACGCTCCTGCCACATTCCAAAGAATGATGGACGAGATTCTGCGCGATTATTTATATAAATTTTGCTTCGTTTACATGGACGACGTTGTCATCTTCTCAAAATCCCTTCAGAGCATATAGATCACATTTGGCACATCTTCAAAAAACTTGAAGAGGTGAATCTTAAGATTCAGCCCGATAAGTCAGAATTTCTGTGTAAAGAAGTCGCCTTTCTTGGACACGTAATAACTCCCGAAGGTATAAAGCGAACCCCTTTGAAAATCGAAGCTATTCAACGGTACCCAATTCCCAAAAATCAGATGATTCATTATGCCACCCAGGATTATCAAGAATGTCCACTTCGTGGAAGTCAGAAATTTAGTTTATTCAGCACTGTCTTTCGTTGGGACTGCCTAAAGGAATAAGTAATCATCTACCATAAGATTATTCCTATAAACTATTTATTATTGAATAGTTTATTTGGAAGGAGATATTTTTGATGGATTGAGGGCTTGCTATCTATCTAAATACATCCTGGGTTCTGGAGAGAATTAAAAGCTGTCTTTATCCAAGACCTGACAAAGACCCATCTCAGTCCAGGTCATACAGACCGATCAGCTTATCGTCCTTTATGTTAAAAGTGACAGAGACCTATATGGAGGCAAAACTTCAAACCAAGCCCTTCTTATAAGAGAGAGACTTTAGAAATGTCTTAAAAAAGACCATTTCGCGAAATCCGTATTCTGTGCAAGCATCTTCAATGCCACACAGTTACTACTGGCAACTCACTTCCACAACCGTAATTGTAAAGGACCACACACAGGTAACATACATACCCCCTGGGTCTCGAAGCCGGGGAACAGCATTCTCATGAAAACGAAGGTTCTGTTTTTGTCAGTGTTATGGAAATACGAATATGAGCGACGAAGACAGAACCTTCGTTCTCATGAGAACGCTGCTCCCCTGTTTCGAGAATAAGGACCCTAGTAACTAGCAAATCAAATAATATATGAGGAAAATAGGTTGGACAATTTCAAGCTCCTCCGCCTTTAAAGCGTCAGGACCTGACGGAATTTATCCCTAGCCCTACTTCAGTGAGGATTGGAGCTACTCTTGCTGCACCTGGTGCAGATACATACCTAAGGCTTGGACAGAAGTTAGAGTACTAGTGTTCCTACCCAAACCTGAGAGGATGGACTACACCAACCCCAAAGCATATCACTCCATAAGCGCAAACATGAAGGTAGTCAGCTGGATCTAAGAACATGATCACAGCAAGGGCAATCGGGGCTGGAACTCCGTTACGGATAGAGATCGTTCTTTTCCTCGTTATGGCAATTGCTGTCTTCTTCTCTCTTATCGCAATAAACAGAGAGGGGGGACGTTAATGAAGACAGAGATATTGGTCGCTATTCTTCGAGTCCCAGTCCAGGCTGCCGATGCTCTAGTTAGGAGGGCCACCAGGTTACAGGCTTGGATATTATTATGTTCAGTAGTTTAGATTATATTATGTAGCTAACTTTTTACGTATAAGTCACTTCACTTAAGGGGGCAACATCGCTCCCATGCACACGATACAAAATACAGAAATCGGTTTTAGACTACAAAAAAAAACCGCACATCAGAATTTGCTGAAATTTGGCATAAACATTCCTTGATCGATTATCTAGAGAATAGTGCAGTTAGATTTTCCATATTTCGAATTTTTTTTTGGCCTATATTGTGAAAATGAACTATTTCCCAAAAATAGAAAAATCCACGGTAAAAATTGAAAAAATAAGAGCACTATTTTCTAGATAATCGATCAAAGAATGTTTATGCCAAATTTCAGCAAATTCTGATGTGCCGTTTTTTTTTGTAGTCTAAAACCGATTTTGGAATAAAAATACAGATATTTTGGCAAATATAGTTCAGGCTTTTTTTCGAAGATGGCGCCACCAGTCAATTCGTGATGTCATAATTAGGCGTTTTCGAAAACCCCGAACTGTTGGAGCAGCAGCTGATGTAGGTTGTTCAGCGTTTCCAAAAAAGCCTATTGACAACAGAACCTCTTTCTCACCTTGTGTATTTGTTTTGTAGGACAAAATGTCTTTGAAAAAATAAAGAGCTTCAATAATAATTATTAAAATTTATTTACAAAAGGTGGAAAGTGTTAAAATTAGAGTTTTTCCTTTGTGTTCTTGCATATTAGTGCAATAATAATATCCACCAATGCAGTAGAGCATTCAATTTAGGTATCTGGCGGTTTGAATTTCTTTTACTAGCTCTTGGATCTTTTACCAATATCTGAAATTGTGTAAGACTCCTGGTGAGACTATTTTTTTATTATTCCTCCGAGTATTCCTCTATTTGTAAACCCATTCATGTGCCAATTGCTTCCTGAAAATCTCATAGGTACCTACCACAACTAAACATACCTCAAAAACAAGCTCTACAACAAAACATCACTTTTACAGAGTAGAACAAAATTTGAAGTCATACCAGGCCAGGCATGGAAATACAAATCCCTCCATAATCCCATTAGCCAATCAGTGCGAACTGAGTGAAAAAAGTTGCACTGATTCTGCAAATTGAAATCGCTATAATATTTAAAATGCTCCACTGTAAAAATGCTTTCATCTTGGCGCCATCTATAATTTTTTTTTAGAACTAAAATATAATTTGAAGGGGGGGCCGTTGCAGCCTTAAGAGTCTTTTACATCCACTTAACTTGGTCCGACAGTAATCAAAACACTCTGGTTCCTGGAAAAGTGGTTACTTTTGGACCTCGATTTCCTGAAATCTGGTTAACCAAATTTCAAAATAGCTACCAGCCATCAGATGTCGATTCACTCGGTTCTGTTGGTTTTATCTGTAATTTCTGTCAATTATATTTTATTTCATATTCGCGTTCCCCAAGTAACCAGAATTTTCAGTAACCATCTGTCAACGGATTCGGTCACTTTGGTTGACGTTCGGACCATAGCCTAAGAATTTTTTAATTGAGTTACAAATTAAAGAGGGTCTAGACCAATTTTTCATAGACGCTATGACATACCATTTGCTTTACGAGAGAAAGTTGAATGTGAATTGTCGAAAATGGAAAAGTCTGGAATTATTTCCAAAGTAAGTTATAGTAACCTGGACAAGCCCCATTGTTATAGTTCCCAAGAAGAATTCGGGTGAATTAAGAATTTGTGTGGATTTTGAAAAAACCCTTAATACTGTTCTAGGCTCAGACCATTGTTAGTTGCCTCTACCAGATGATATTTTTGCTTGTTTAAGTGGTCAAATTTTTTTTCGTGTTTCAGATCTAAAGAGAGCATCCCCAACATCTTCAAATTAGTGAAAAATCCAGAGAATCATTTAT